ATGTATCTTTGAAGATCTTCAAAACGACTATAAAAAAATATAAGGATCTTGAAGTTGAAATCTAAAAAATGTGGCACATGAAGACATCAGTAATTCCTGTTGTAGTTGGAACCCTCGGTTAAAATGGAAAAGATTCCAATAGACTCATTGATGTGATTGTATTCACAAGAACAGCTCGCAGATTACGAATAACCTTTTCTATGTTAAATATGTGTAATATCTTTTTTCTTACAAAAAATATCAGTGGAAAAATTCATGAAGTCATTTCTGAAACCTAGGGTTTAGGTTGGGACCTAGAAGAACATTTGTATACAGTAGGGATTAAAAGAAATAATAATAATAATAATAATAATAATAATAATAATAATAATAATGTCAAAGTACAAGGACCTTAATGTCAAAGTACAAGGACCTTGAAATAGAAATCTCGAAAATGTGGCATATGGGAACATCAACAATCCCTGTTGTAGTTGTAGCCCTAGGACTGGTTGGAAAAGATTGCAGTAGACTAATTGAAGGGATTCCTGGAAGTCCATGCCTCAAGGAGATACAAAAAATTGTTCTGACAAGTACAGCCCACACCTTACGAAGGGCTTTATCTATGTAATTTTTTTTTTTTTTTTTTTTTTGTCAGTGGAGTGTCATGACGCCATTTCTAACCTTAGGTCCCTGGGCGGCACCCGGAAAGAAATGTGTAAACGCCAGAAATCAAAGAAAATAAAAATGATAATAATAATAATAATAACAATAATAATACACCACGATAGGTTCTCGGGTTTTATAATCATATGTGATTGGGCCTGTTAACACGTGAATGTCTTGTGTCGGTAAATAACGATGGAGCTACAGGAAATATTCTGTTCAATAGCAAAGATTTGCTTGTTTGTTATCTGACTTTAATCAATATGGTATTTGTCCTATAGATTGACAATGCATATCAGTTTATAATCCGTATTATTGAGAGATAACTATAGCCTGATGTTTCCAAATTCGAATGTTGATGCAGCAAAAGTAAGTTTTGAATAAAAACTAGTTGCTTTTGAACTGAGAAAAGTGATTTAGGCGATCTGAAGGCAATTCTAAAAAACATGTCCGCTATGCGATATTTTTTGATCTTTTGGATATTTCCCTGTATTAAACACATATGGGTGCAATAAATATGTCTGGTATACACTTAAAACTGTGTCTCATGATAGGCCTATTGAATTTCGCATAACTGTACGTCAGCGTTGGTATGTTAGTAAGCTTCTTCTTTCTTTATTTTGTTTTATTTTGTTTTACGGCGTATCAACCGCAATAGCTTATTTAATGCCGACAGGATTTGTATTTCTGGTAATATTTTTTCTTCAAATATTTATTGATGGTAATTTTTTTTTACAAAAACTTATTTCTATATTAAAACATATTTTTACACTGTCATAGTGTTTTGAACCCAGTTTGGGGGTTAACTATTTGCCCAAAGATGGGACCCCCAACAGGTGCTACCACCCCGAGTCACTGTGGACCCGGGAACACCAGGAATTAAGAGGTGGTTCTACGCTCCTCAAAGTCTCCTGATCAGAGGCCATGCTATTGGATGTTGTATATCGTCTTACCCAGGACAGTTAGTGAGCTACTCACAAACTCAATAGTAATAACAATATTAATGACAGAAATAGCCATCAGAAAAAATCATTTCGAAAAAGACTAGAGATAGGTCGTGTCTACAGGTAAGAGTAAATTTGTTTTATTAAAAAATATCTGAAAAACCCGATCCTTAAAACTGACTAGGTTGCCAGTAAATAATTATCATATTATTAGAAATAAGAAACAGAATATATGTATTTTAAGATTCTCAGAGATAGCATATTACATGAACGTAACCTATATAGACAGGCGATTCTATTTATTGATTGCCCTATGAGGATCGAAAGCAATAAAATCCTGCAGATCGTGCACGCAAATACTATGTCTAAAGTTACACACTGTTAATGGAAACAGAAGCAGCCAGAAGTTGCGAAGAATGTATTAATAATAGCAGTACTAGTAGGATTTAGTTTGGTGGACACAATTTTAAAAGCATAAAATATGTAGATTGAAACGATTTAAATAAAAACTGGAGAAAAGGTCTAACCATTTATCGTTAGAAATTTATATGTTGTAAGTACCTACGATTTCATTAACCACATAGGCTTAAGGCTAAAAGGCACCCCGAGAGAAAAATCCCAAATTCCAGTCAAAAAATAGTTAGATATAAAAAATAAATAAATAAAATTAGATAAAATCCAATGCGTTCAACTTGCGAGCGAATATGTTCTATGATCAGCCATACATTTGTCTTCTTTTCCAAATTCTTTCTCTCTTTACCTTCTCTTCCACCCACAAGCCAAGAGCCCGTGAACTTTGAAGCGACTCGACCCGAGAATGACTTGGTTCCAAAATCACGGGACCATCAGGCGGTTGGCTATAAGTGAATTTCAGGCACCACCAGGCTCTCTTGCTGCGATCACGTGTTCAGACCCTACTGAGGTTTGATTGAAATTTTGGCCATCACGAAAATACTGCGTGGTTTGCGCCCCATCCTCCTACGTGTTTGGTCAAGGACGAAAAGAAACCATGTGACTATCTTTGGGGACAGCAAAAATCAAAAAATAGCTTCTTTTTTTTCCTATCTGATCAGTGGCAGATTAACATCGCTTGGCGAATCGTCCCGATTTCAAATGGACAGCCGATCGAAATGAGGAAGACAGCCAACTAAAGAACGAAAGGACTGCTACGAAACTGAATCGACCAATGAAACTCCTGTACGAGATGTTGTGGGCCTCCGGTCATTTCCGAAAGAAAAAGAAGCCAGCGAAATTGCCGGCCGGCCAAAATTTTGTTTTAGCATTAGAGCTCTCGCTGCGTGGAGATATCAACTCGACTGACAGATAAGTTGACTTCTTGGCTTGATCCTTTTATGTATATATATATATTCGCTCGTGCCTTCTGTTCTTTTATGGTCTCCTTCCCCTTTGCTAAATGAGTTTTATTTTTCTTTCTTTACCTGTTTATGTATTTATGTTTTATTTTTAAATCCATCGTCTTGCGTCTGTTTTTCGTTGACTCACTTGTGTCGCTTTAATTCCTGAGTGAAGACCGAGAAAAAATCCCAATTTTTCTCTTTTTTTTAAACCCGTGGTTCACTTATATGCTACAAGTTTGTAACAATGTGTAATAGCAAAAGAGAGCAAGAGAAGGCTCAAGGAAGCATTATTCTACTTAGGATAACTGATACAAGCGTAATGAACATTTATAATCCTCTAGAAACAAAAGAGTTCTCCAAAGGGAGGTAATCATAAAAAGGAGATTACTTTCGATTGCTTTATTGCAATATGATCGTTTTCAAGAGGCACCGTCCAACATGTGAGCTAAGAATTGTAGACGTCATAATCAGGCAAATACAGAATCATAGGTATCTAGTATTTTAAGAAACGACGGAAAATACAGCAGAAATCCAAAATGTAAACAAAGTATTAACAATGTTCAACATTTCGTTAGAAAGAAAGTATATGGTGGGGAAATTTTATGTAATATCACTCATATACGGCTGTGAATGTTGGTCGATTTAATCACCGAAAAAAGTGTAAGAGTGTACACTATTTTACGAGTCAGTGGAAATCATCTGCAGAAACAGGGACTTATAGTTAGGGGACAAATGTTGCTTAGAGCTGCAATGGATAACCATAAACAGCTACACCCTGAGGACACAGGACACAGGACACACAGAAAAATGATTTCGAATAATAATAATAATAATAATAATAATAATAATATTTAATGCGTTTTATTGTTAACTAGACTACGCATGACCCGTCGGATCACGAACGGTTCACGTTATAAATATTGAAGTTGATTTCAACATTAAAAAAACTGTCTGTTTGAAGAAAGTTAGAATAAAAATACTTACTTATTTTTAAATTTTATTCACTTAAAATATCTTTGAAATCAGATTAACTTAAAAATATATTTTTTAATATGCCAATAAATATTTATATCTGTCTTTCACTTATAAATATTTTAAATGAAAAAAAAAACTGTGCTGTTTGAAGGAAGTTAAGATAAAAAAAATATACGTACTGTGAAAACAAATCGCATTTTTAAATCTTACTCACTTAAATAAGATCAACATAAACCATTATGCACCGGCCAGACGGACGGACGTACCACGCAATCACAGAGGTAGAAAAAGAGAGAGGTGGAAAGGGAGAGAGATGGAAATGAAGAAGAGGCAATAAACTTAAATATTGATGCGCCGGACGGACGACATACCACGCAAGCACTAATCACAGACTTTTAGTATTATATAGATGTATTGAAAATGATAAACAGAATAAATCATTTTTATGTAACACAATAATAATAATAATAATGATAATAATAATAATAATAATAATAGCAATAATAATAATTTAAAAATGTGTTCCTTTTTGTGTCGTAAATATCATTGCCAGGGCGATATGTCTAAGGACATGTATTATAATTATAAAAATATATCCGTGAAACTGGGTAATGTTAAATGAATTGTTCAATTTCCACATCCCATCTAAACAGAGATTTTAAATGCATATAATTGATAATTCTCCACCGTGACTGACACATCGTTTCAAAGATTAATAAATCATGGGGAACTGAGAGAGGAATGCAAGGCATACAGAAGTGGGTTATTTATCGGGATTTAAAGACTGCGATTTTTTTTTTAAATTGTAAAGTAAATTATTTGTTTTTAACCTTTTTCTACGAGGAGAAAAAAAATAAAGATTAAGTTTTATAAAAATAACAGAAATAGGGAGGAAACGAATAGGTGAAATTCATCGTAAAAGCATGGAAAAATTTTAACAAAAAGAAACAAACAAAAAAACAATGAAAGTTATTGTTAAAACAGAAGTAGTACTTGAAGGAGGGGTTAGAAATTGAGAACGAAAAATATAGTGGAAAACATATAGAAGAAAGAAATAAAAAATTAAAGGCAATAAATGAACGAAAGAAAGAAAATGACTGAGAAAGTCAATACAAATTCCTGCCTGAAGGAATAATATAGGTTGATAAGGAAAATATATGCAGAAAGATGATTTAGCGAAAAGAAAGAAAGAAAGAAAGAAAGAAAGAAAGAAAGAAAGAAAAATAATAACGGACAACAGGAATAAAGACAGGAATGAGAGATGATAATTAAATATACGGAAAAAGATTTCGGAAAAAAAGAAAGAAAGAAAGAAAGAAAGAAAGAAAGAAAGAAATAAAAGTATCTAGGTAGGCAGAAATGAAGGAACAGATACAAAGAAAATATTCAAGGACAATAGAAATAATAATAGGAAAGGTATATAATAATGAAAGGTACAGAGGAAGAATTAGAAAGGAAAAAAAGACAGGGAAAAAGAAAGAAAGAAAGAAAGAAAGGAAAAAGAAAGAAAGTGAAAAAGAACGAAAATGAAGAAAAAAGAGAACGAAAAGAAAGAAGAAAGAAAGAGAATGCAAGCAATGGTGTTAGTTTCAGATACAAAGAAAACAAAAATAAGACTAAGAGAGAAAGAAATGGACCAGAAAGAAATATGAAGTATAGACCAGAAGAATCTAGAAAAAAAAAACTGAAAACAGAGAAAAAAGAGGAAAGGAAAATTAAGAAAGTAATAAATATAGAAAATAAAGAAGCCTGTAAAAGAAGGAAATAACTAAGGAAAATCAATCGATGTAAATATAAAGAAGTAAAGGGAAGAGAGAAAGAACGATTCCAAAACATGTGTGTTCAATGTTAAACATCTAAACCTAATTATCTCTCTTTTTTTATAATACTGATTTATCGAAGAGAAACCTAATTTACTTCCGAAATCTCAGAGTAGAGGAACAGCGTCCCAACTCGCGTACATAATCACCAGACAAATGCAAATAGATCTCCTTCAACGAGACTTCATTGAAGCAAACAAGCAGCCTAATAACGCTGACCTGATTTAAGCTCATCCAAATGTCGTGTCCTCTAGAGGTGGCTTTCGGTGTAAGAGATCATCTATAAAACGTAATTGTTCAATTAGTAAATGCCCTCTCTCAGCACATTGCATTATTACATGTCAGCTGAAAAGGCTAATATTATATTGTAAACTTAAACATCACTAATATTATATTGTAAACATCACAACTTGTATCGGCAATAGGCTTTCTGCGTCTCTTCAAAGTAATTATTATATAACTAACGATTTTAGTAGCATTTGTATGTAAGTAAAACTAATGGGGGTATGATTAACAGCAAGTATTCTTAATACTTCCAATATGATACCACGACAAATAGCTTTACCTCCAAAACTCTAAATGAACAGATAGCTGATCTCTATGTGGTCAAAAAAAATTAGTGACTCTGACGTCGGACGCAATTTCAGATTGGACGTTTCTCCCCTCTACACCGATTTCTTGGTATTTATCGTTGTTCTCTGCCTTGTATCCGCTTCGTTCGTTCGTTCGTTCTGTCACAACTGCACGTATCGTACGATATACCCCAACAGAACTCACTTTTTTTTTCTACAAGAAGCTCTCCTTTGACGGAATGAGGCACTCATCTTCTCTCAAAGTCCGACATGCCATACAGTGACCAACTCTCTCACTTCGAGATACCGACAAAAAAATCTCGATCACCGCTTCCGCCTTAGACTTGAGTTCCGGTTCACTACGTCTGCTACACTATACTCCGATCTAACTCTAATATTTGGTTAAATTGGATGGTTACATTCAGTGTCTCGAAAACCACACTAGTAATTTTCCATCATTACCCATCTGAGTCTGTGCTAAATACTGTCACGATGAATGGATGTTTCCTCAGGAAGGTCTCGGGACTTGAGTGACTATTAGGCCGTAAGTGGAATTCAATACATACGATTCAGCGCTAAAGACACCGAGAAAATGGTTCTTGTACCGCTCCAGTAAGTACCTGACTACTTATGCTACACTCTACCTTTACAAAGATGGCGTACTATTGTCATATTTGAACAGGATCTGCCCTGTCCTCATTGTCCAGTCTCAACAGTGTCAAAAAGTGTCACCGCGTTCTTGTTGGTGCCAAATTATTTTCCACCCCGCAACCGATCTCTGACAGACGAGTTGTCGCAAGCCTCTCTCTGTTCTACAGTCGTTTGTTCCTCCAGTTCTAAACTTCATGGTTTGGCCCCGCCATGTTACGCATATAGTAGCGAACCACACCCATTTCCTCCGTATTCCATTGGAGAAAAGTACGTCCCACTCGAGTAGCTTCCTATCTCCCAATAGAAATGCTATCCCTGATCACAAAGCGTAACATTTTCTCGTCTAGTGTTAACTGTTACCTTCCTCACATACACGCTGTACCCGTGACTCTGTAACCCTGTACGTCGAATGACTCCTGGGCAATTTATATAGTGAACACCAAGGAAAAGAGAAAATAAATCGAGATTCACAAAGCATTTCTCTGAAAAGTTTCATTTCTTCCTCGGATATTCAATTCAAGTACCATTTTGCAAAACTCATGAAAACTTTTCGGTGTTCAAGTAATTTTCGATGCGGATTTCCTATTCATAAAAAACCTAATGCTTACTTGTTATATTTATATATTTTCCATTGAAATTATTGACAACTTCATGTTCAGCAGGAATTTTCATATCAGGGTGCAGACGGCTTCTTAATCGCAACGACTTGCGATCATTTGTACCTCGAAGCGATATTTTGCCCTTTACTCAAAACCCCAGTTTCTTATCTCTCATTCATTTACGTAACCTCGTTATACAATATATTCGAGCTTTCACTTCTTTCTTTTTACCGTGAGATTCGCCTCGTACCAGCCCCGGGAGCTACTCGAGGTAGAGGGCTACAGACTAAAAGTCACAGTTCATGAGGATATGTGGGGAAGATAACGGTTAACCCTAGACTTGAACAGGTTATGATTGTTGTTATTGGAAAAGCATCTTCTCAGAAGTCGGTTCAACAGAAAAGTGCTTCGCGGACAGAAAGATGCTCGAGGAGAATTTACTCCACAACAATGGAAGACGAAGGGAATGAGGGTGGTTCGCTACGATGGGCGTAGCATGGCATGTCATAGGCATGAAGGTTAGAATTGGTAAAACTAAGAGATGTAGTTCGTCTGGATATTTTCTATGGAAATTGCAGTCGAGAGGTGCCAGGCTCTTGATGTTTTATCTGCGAGAGAGGGGTTGTAGGTTGGCAAATAATTTATCACCTACAAGAACATGGAGAAGTGTTTGATCTCTACCGAGACTGGGAAGGGAGGAATGGGCAGCTCCTGCCGGAATATGGCATCAGTACTATATTTTAGATCTAGTCTGACTCTTGTAAAGTTACAGGATAACACGTGTCAGGTATTTGTCTTCAATAAATCCCCTAAATTACAACTTATCCAAGCTGTCAACTGTCACTTTTATTATATTCTAAGTGTCCTTTTTGTTCTCATAAATCAAAGCCTTCTCGTTGCTCATCTGTTCGGTCAGTGGTAATCTCAGTATCCTTCTGTAAAACTACATCATTTTCCCTCGTCTTCTTAGAGCAGATTTTCCATTCTTTACATCCCTTTATGAGTATTAAAATTATATGGGCATTCTTTTGTGTTGTCAACAAATACTCGTTGTCACTTTTGTAATGCTCGTTGTAGTAAAGACTTTGTAATCGCAGATACAACTATAGTAACGCCGTTGAATAATACTGGTGTCAGACACATTCGAATATTACTCGCACTAATACTACATCCTCGATAATACTCGCTCAAATAGTAATCCGAATAGGGATCCGAATAGGGAATTAGTACAGTGAATAGTGTAGAGAATAGCGCTCCCTATAATAATAGAAGATAGAATAGAAATTGCGATCCGTTAGTAATAGAGGATAGTCTAGATGTGGTGATCAATGTAGATGTAACGCGACTTCCTATATATACGTTTCCTCTATGGTCACGTGATCAGTTTACTTCAGTAATAGGATCGCCTCTGTTTGCTCACTGGAGATCTATGTTCAAAATGTCGGCAGCGACACTTTATTTCTATATAACACATTCGATAACTTTTTTCTTTGTTTCTAGCGATATTTTTCTGTTTCTTAATATTTTGTTTATATTTCATTATTTCAAAACATATTCGGTATTATGTAATATATTCTTACTAAATATATACCTTATAGGGGAAATGTCTAAAATAATATGAAGCCTCTTAAAAAATGTCGTTAAAAATAAGCCAGATTTGAATATTTAAAACTACAAATGTTATGTCCTTAACCGATAAACAGTTACAGAAAATTAAAAATACATAAATAAAAATTCAAAACGACAAATTATACTCGAGAAGTATTTTTACTGCAAATTTTACATCTTTATTTTTTTTAATCAGTTGGATCCTAAACAAAGGAATAAGGCCACTAAAACGAAAGTGGTTTCTGTGAATGAAATGAAACGTGAAAACATTGAAAAGGAGAAAAGACAATAACGGAACAGGTTTCAGAAACGACACGAAATAGAGAATGATGTGTGCATGTAAACTTTTGAAGAATGTATTTGACAGGAATGCAAGAGACCGCAAGAGAGAAATGCGAGAGAATAAACTATTTGAATATAACTTACAATTACATATAGATATTTCAACAAGAAAATGGCGATATAATTAACAAGATAGCAAAACGCTTTAATCCTTGTGGTTGAGTTACCAAGGTGAACACCTCGTTAGAAAAATTGCAATGAAAATATTTATTTGAAAGGCACGGTACATTGATGGAAATATGGCTGAAAACAAAATGCCAGTTCAGGACCAATCACTTTACAGATTATTCTTTGGATTTTATCGAGAATCTCGAGGGACGAGGTGCAACTTTATTTTTATCCGCCAAAACAAACGTCGCGTGGGCAAAATTCATTGGATGAGAGCCTTTGCACACCGGTAATCCGCGTCAGTTACCAGTTTATTTCTTTGTAGAACTCTTTCGTTTCTAGAGGACTATAAATGTTCATTACGCTTGTATCAGTTATCCTAAGTAGAATAAAGCTTCCTTGAGCCTTCTCTTGCTCTCTTTTGTTATTACACCTTGTTACGAACTTGTAGCACATAGGTGAACCACGGGTTTAAAAAAAGTAAAAAAATTGTGATCTTTTCCCGGTCTTCACTCAGGAATAGGAGCGACACAAGTGAGTCAACAAAAAACAGACGCAAGACAATGGATTTAAAAATAAAACATTTATTTATAAATACATAAATGCCTAGAGTACAGACGTGTAGTATTCGCTCGTCAGGGTTTCGTTTTCACGCAAGATGGTCGAATGCATCCAGCAGATATAATGAATCAAGTTTTGTCAAAAGCTTGGTGATACGCAAGCTCAAACTATCCAGAAGATTCAGCAGGCATTTAACGATGACGTTATTGGCAAATATCAGATCTAAGAGTTGTAACATCTTTAAACATGCCGCACGTCATTGAAGAGTGAGGCACGCTCAATCAGGCCATCCACAAGCCGAAACAAAAAGCTTCAACGATTAGCCATAGAAAATCATCGTGTAACAATCCAGGAAATTTTGAACGCGAAAAGACCCGGGTCAGTGCATTCCATTTTAGCTAATAATTTATGCATGCGTATAGTGTCGGCGCCCGCTCATTCCGCTCACGTAATCCAGATTTTCCTGATATATATATATAAAAAAAACACCACTTGTTCGACAAGCTACCTATTTTACCGATTTGGCAGCGTTTGACTTCTGGCTCTTCCCCAATCTGAAAACCACGATGAAAGGG